AATGATATCATTGGTTGGCATTTCCTATAACATATAGTTTCAGAATTGTATGAGAGAGAGAGTGAAAACAGCGAAATAAATTGAGAAAAATTCGAAAATAAAGATTTTTCAATTCAAAGAATACTCTGAGCAGAAGCTGCAATCATGATTTTGATCAGTTATTACTTGAACACATTATCACACATCTTCTCAGGATTCTTATCGAAATGTGCAGCGAAAAGTAGAAACAACAACTCAAATGATTGATAAGATGTGAGACACTCCCAGTCACTGCGTCATAGTCTGCAGGAGAACGTTTGTTAACCTCATAATTGGAAATAATCTTGTGAGTTAAAATAAATAAAACTGTTCGAATGAAATAACTTGAAATGATCGGAAAAGCTTATTGGAGTTGTAAAAATGAAAACGGATCATATTTCTGGCTAAGATGACAGAGATTGGAAACACAGTTCGAAAGTTTAAAACTGTCACATCTAAAAATATATTTTGTTGCGAAACATCTGGATCTAATCACATGAAATGACATCAGTGCAAATTTGAAGTTATCTTCTTTGCAGTTTTGCCCATGCAGTGAAGAAATGAAAATGTTATTAATGATTCAATGATCACTTTTTGCCTTACCAGAGAACAGAAGAATTTGATCTCAATAGTTTCAGAATGAAATAATTTGCAATAGAATACAAGTTTGCTTGTATCGTTTCGAAACATATTATGCTTTCCTAGCCATTATATCCACGAAATCAGTTACACTGCTAGGAACGATAATCTGTTTGCACGCAGGTTTTTCACATTGCTATCAGATAAAGTTTCTCTGTTTTACAATGGAGTTTGACTTTCTGAAGTTTTTCATCTCTCATGAGTTGAACTCAAAAGATTGAAACAGCATGAAGAACCAAATCAATAGAGGAAACTTTATTCTGATTAGTGGCATCAAAAAAACTTTTTGTGAATCTTGTGAGCGTAGAAAAAGAATATGAAAACGACAATAAATCGAAACAATATGAATCTACTTCCTACTCTCATCTGAATCATTTTCCATATGAAAGAGATTGAATCATGAAGAGTGAGATTGGGAACTGACAGAAATTATTAATCATTTTCATTTTATATTCTCTTTGGGGAATGAAAAAATGTTATCTAAACAATGGGCAAAATTGTTCGACAGTTTTTTGCCGACCATGATACTATGTTTTCACAGAATTTTTCGGCTTCTAGGAAGTAGAATTATACCCACGTTTGAGGAATACAACTTCTATTCACGATTGACAATGAAGAATTGTACTTTTGAACCAGGAAACGATTTTATTCCATATAAAAGAGATGCAACTGAGCAAAAACAATGTTTCCGATAATCATGAGGATACCTTTTATAATTCCCATACTCATTTCACTTCATTTATGTTCATACGTACTGGGTAAAACTGACAATGCGGCTGAAAATAAGTTCACAGAACCAGGTGAGGTTTGATGACTGCATATGAATCGATCATATGTATATTTCAGAAAGCGCGACTGAAGCATCATTTCTCAACGTGATTGAAAAATCTAACGATGAAAAAAACCAAAAAGGTAGTTTCACAAATGCATGGACAACTACAACCAAGAAAGGAGGTGAAACAACCAAAGGACCATGGACAACTACGACCAAGAAAGGAGGTGAAACAACCAAAGGACCATGGACAACTACGACCAAGAAAGGAGGAGAAACAACCAAAGGACCATGGACAACTACGACCAAGAAAGGGAGTTTTCCAACTACAACTACCACTACCACCAAGAAACCTACTCCCATGACCACAACGACCACTACTACCACAAAGAAACCAACCACCACTACCACAACCACCACCAAGAAACCTACTACCGCGACCACAACCACCACTAGGAAACCTACTCTCCCGACCACTACCACCACTAGGAAACCTACTCTCCCGACCACTACCACCACTAGGAAACCTACTCTCCCGACCACTACAACCACTACCACCACCAAGAAACCTACTACTACTACCACCACCACCACCACCACCAAAAAACCCACCACTACTACCACGACCACCACCAAGAAACCAACCACTACTACCACTACCACCACCAAGAAACCTACTACCACGACCACAACCACCACCACCACCAAAAAACCCACCACTACTACCACGACCACTACCAAGAAACCTACCACTACAACCACGACCACCACTAAGAAACCCACCACTACTACCACGACCACCACCAAGAAACCTACTACCACGACCACAACCACGACCACTACCAAGAAACCTACCACTACAACCACGACCACCACCACTACCACTACCAAGCAGCCCACCACGAGTGTTCCAGTTTCTCCTTTGACTCTGTCTCATTCACTACAATGTGAATCAAGGTGAGCGTTTCATTTCGACATGGAAATGTTTTCAATTCCAGAGATTGTAAATCCCAGTGGATTGATTGGAAGTCTCAAGCAGTATCTCATAAATTAAAGTGCCGCTCTTACTATCATGATTTTTTGTCAAAGAAGCTGTTGAAAAGTTAAGTTTTTCAATGCAACAATGGTTTCTCATGTGCAAATAATCAATTGAATGGTTCACGCAATATTATGTAGTTATGTCTGATCAAGTTATCTACAAAGAACTGGGTCGTTGAGCCGATAATAAAAATGATTCTGAATCATTGTCTCAAATTGAATGTTTAATGATCACTCACAGTACTGTAATTTCCATGTTAGTTGACTTCTTGTTTTCTTGTTAAGAGCAGAATATAATTTTTGTAGTACGGAATGCGTCCAATTCCAAAAAGTTCATAATTTCCTCAATGAAAGTTGTAGTTTGTTCCCGAGATCTAAGTGAGTGAAAAACATTTATGCTTACTTCTGTATGTGGTTAACTCATAGCCAGATGTTTGACCTATTTAGTTTATATCACAATACAACCGAATCACAAAAGTAATATAATGGATCTAATAGAACTACTTGTACTCTGAAACAAAAAAAAATTTTTAAAAAATTTGTTCTATTTAGAGTAACTCTATAGCTGTAAATAAAATAATATTTAGTTCATTGTTTATCAATATATTGTAGAGACCTCTAGTGTTTATGTTATGAAAGTCCCATGGTCCATCGCATGTAGTCAACAAGAATCGAGAATCTGCTAAGAAATAAACTTCCATTATAATCTTTAAATTTAAAAACATAAATAAGAATCATTAAACATACTTCTAAAAATACATTCAAATTCTTTAACTTCTTATCAATATTCGAGATAATATAGTTCTAAGAACTTCTTTCTGAGAATTGAAAAAACAATGATAAAGGTTTTCATCCCATAGATTTGTCTGATATAAGATAGCATTTCCCAGTTCAACTTTGATTTTGAACATTTTGAATACAGAATAGTCAATTAGTGTGACATTTAGAGCATTTGAACAAAACCTGATAAGACTATTAATCTGGGAGGTTTTGGTGGTGTTTCATCTTATAAGATCAAAAAATCTAGAATTTGATCATTGAAATTCTGATTGCAAGCAATCTCTGAGTATATAAAAACAGCCTTTATCTCTTATCATAATAGGTAGATGTGTCCTTAAAACTTTCACACCCCTACTTCTCATAATCTTCACAGATATAACAATAATAATGATAATAATAAAATAATATAGTTATTACAGTAATTAATATATATGAAATTCATTTTCATATAATTAATTTCTCTTTCTCTCTTTGACAGTCTATCTGTCAATATCTCATCTGACAGATGAATAAGTGTTCACATGAGCATCATCATATCAATTCTGTTACATAATTAAGCTAATGTTACATAAATCTTTATTTAATTCGGTTTTTCATTTTCCAACATCAACAATATGGTAGATGAAAAGAAATACTTTCATTTTATCTACAGTAATATACTCTGAAATGTGTTGATAGCAGATTCTTGGGAATGATCAATTTTATTGTTTTTGAAATAAAATTTAATGAGTTCCAACTATCTTACAATGTATTCAAATCATTTTGTCATAAGGTTACTTTAGATACTCGCGTACCTGATTATTCTCCATTGCTTCTTGTCTTCCAACTGCTACAATCAGAATATTTTGTCTGTTTTTAGATGGATCTGAACAATTTAACGAAGCAGATAGAGGATCTCAGGCAGCAGTTAGATACACTAGAAGCTGATTTATCTGAAAATCAGAATGCTTTCTTCTTGTGTTCAATGGCTCTTATCATTTTCCGTAAGTTATTAAAGCCTTTAGAGGCTTTCACACATCTGCCCGTTTAGTCATGCAATGTGGATTTGCTTTCCTTGAAGCAGGAGCTGTACGAAGTAAAAATACAACTAATATTCTGATCAAAAACTTGTTAGATTCTTGTAAGATAAACTTTGAAAACGAGATATTATCTTCTCATTAAGGTATTGCTATCGTGGGATATTGGTCACTAGGATGGGCTTTCGCATTTGGTACATCTAACAATGAAGTTATTGGATTATTTGTTGGACATACTGAATTCTTCTTATCTGGAATGACTAACTACCCTAAGTAATTATGATTTTATGAATGTCAAGATACAGCTGCGTTCAGATTCTTCTTCCAATATGTCTTTGCTGCCACGTCCGCAACAATTGTGTCTGGAGCTGTTGCAGAAAGATGTGAATTCTTTAATTATGTAACATATTGCACTGTTATCTCTAGTAAGTATTACATTTTATTGGATATTAAAAACTATTTGATTTCAATGATTCCGGAATATATCAAAGGAAATTCCTTTCAACAATTCTATCAATCTGCCACTTTTTCAGCTTTTGTTTACCCTATCCTAACACATTGGGGTTGGAACCCTGAAGGATGGATGTTCAAAGGAATCACATCTGGTTCTATCAATACTACTTATGTTGTAATAATAAGTTGGATTACTCACTTAGCTCGAATATACTACAGGATTTTGCTGGTGCTGGTGTGGTACATCTATGCGGAGGGACTATCTCGTTCGCTGCTGCTTATATCATTGGGCCTCGTATCGGTCGTTTCCCTAAAGATGGAGAAGAACAGTCTATTGAGATTAAAGGACACAGTGTTCCCGTAAGTGAATAGAATATGAATGTGAGGCTGAAAAGGAGCCTTTCAGTTTGCTGCTTTGGGTGGCTTCATTTTGATGTTCGGATTTTTAGCTTTCAATGGAGGTTTTGAAATTAAACTATTAAAAACGCTCATATTTCTGCTTCAGGAAGTATGGCTGATATCGTAAAGGCTGGTGAAGGAGAGATTGTTGCTCTGGCTATGATCAACACTATGCTTAGTGGAGCGTTCGCTGCACTTACTTATTTGTTAATCCATTACATCTTTAATGGAAAATGGACTTTACTCTTAACTATCAACGCTTGCCTTGCTGGTTCGCATAGTACAAGCAATTATATAAGTAATTCATTTGTTATAGGTATGGTTTCATCATGTGCAGGCTGTAATAATATGGAGCCATGGGCTTCCTCATTTACTGGAATCGGCGCTGGACTTATCTATTTGGGTTTGAGCAAATTGATGATAAGGTTTGTTGTCTGCATAGTATTATCTTTTTAGTTATCATTAAGTTTTTGATTTTATACCATTTTGATTTTCTGTTCTTTCATTTTCGTTTGAAAGATAATCATTAATCAGGTGTGTAAAAGTAAGAGATTATGACTGATATTGTGTGATGAAATAGTGATCTGTACATGTAGTCAATATGATTTTTTGATTTTTGATAATGATAAGAGAAGCTTTTCTCACCTTTATACATTTAAGCTGGAAAGTAGATGATCCATTGGATGCTTTCGCTGTACATGCTGGCGGTGGATTTTGGGGGTTATTCTCAACATGCATCATCTGTATGTATATAAGTACATATCATATATTATCTTAATCATTTTAAGCAAAAAATGGTATTGTATACACAGTATATGATGCTGCTGCTGGATTACCAAACAAACACCTTGTTGGCCAAGCTTTTGCTGTTAGTCTTCATGAACTTTATGAATTCAAATTATTCTCATTTCTTTAGCAATTGGGATGGCAAATGGTTTGTGCATTAGCTATCATGACTTGGTCTCTCTTGTGGATGGTTCCCATTTTCCTTCTTTTGAGAAAAGTATTTGGAAATGGCTATCACTGAACTGATTTGTTCTCTGTTCAGATTGGTAAACTTCGTGTCCCCGAAGAAGTTGAGATTAATGGTCTTGATATATATAAGCACGGAGAAGCTGCTTATCCTTTACATGCTTATGGACATGGTTGGGATGAATTTGAAGCAGTTCGAGTTGCTCCTACGGAGAACAACAGTATCGAACATAGACGAAAGTCAATGATGCCTAATCAAGAAAGTGAGTAGCATTTTATGTACTGATAAGAAAATGTAATCTCGAACGGCCATTTTAAGTTTCACTGGAACAGTTAGCTGCCGCTTATGACCGTAGAACCAGCATAGCCCCAGTTGGCTTTGGAAGTCCAGTACCCGGACCAAGAAAGAAGAGCTTATACATCAATCCAAAGCTCTATGAGCATCCTGAACATCATCACAAAGCAAAGGACAGATCACAACATATGAAGAATGTGTGTAGACACTTTGATTATTGAAAGAAAGCGTACATTTGCAGGTCATAATAGAAGAAGATGAGACGTCAGAGGAAGTGCAAGAAACTCTCCAATTACAGAAAAAGACACCAGAATCTAGATCAGCAGGCAAATCTAACCCGGCCTTTGATATGTACGACGACAAACCCTCAGTTCAAACATGGCAAAAGCTTTGATCATCATATAAAACACTAACTATATATATATATATATATATATATATTTAATAAGATATATCAATGTAATTGTAATGTTATATATTAAAAAATGAAAAAATATTATTGAAATTTCATATTTAATAAGAAATGCGTTGTGTTAGACACTAGTTTCTCTATTGAGAACAATGCATCTTATCCACTTATTCATCGTAACAATAGGAAGTAACTATGCATTTGGGCATAATTTCCGAGCACTCTTGTACTCTTGATTGTTATTCAGAATGAAGCGGAAATCAAACTGCTGTATTCAATTGGCGCCAGCAAGCAAATTGCCGCGAAATATTTGAATGATACCACTAGAAGTAGCAGTCAAATGAAATGTTCGATGTTTATATAGAAAAAAGTTTTTTTTATTTATTTTGATCTATTGTTTTTCTAGCTGACAGACATTTGTTATGTTTTGAATGCAAAAAAATGAATTTCGATTCTGTATTTTGAAGCCTATCAAGGCACTTTCTACAATTCTTTTTTTCTCTTTTTCTCTCTCTCTCTCTCTCACTTTCTTATTCTCTCTATGTCATTCACTCTCTCTTTCTCTTTCACTCTCTCTCGCTTTTCTGTTTCTCTCTTTCTCTAATTTACAATTTGAGACGCTTTTTTGGCATTTTGTCAAAAACAATTTCATTTAAGTTGTTATGCTATGCAAATCATATGTTTCAATTTAGTTAAGAAAAGATATTGTATGTTATTCCGTATATGGCCACTCATTCATTTCATTAGAACTCTGCCATCGCTTTCTCCCCCCCCCCCTCTTCTCTCCTCACACCCCGCACTCGCTCCCTACTTCTTCCTATATTCAAATTCATTTCTCTCCTAAAGTGCTGGTTGTTAACAAATTGAAGATTTCATGTCTGAACACAAGCAAATTTGAGCATAAATTTGTCTCTGCCCCCCCAACCTCATTATGTTTCTAAACAATACTTCTGGAATATGTGAGTGATGTGGTCTATTCATTTTCTTCTGAAATGTTGGAAACAAAGACAACGTTTAAGAATAGAAAACTACTTTCCTCGTTTTTGCAATGTTTTCTTTCATTTCATTATTCTTTCGTCGTTCTCTCTAGTAACTCTTAGGTCATTTATATATATTTTCTTCTTTTTCCTTTTTTTTCTTCTCGAAATTTAGAAAAGCTCATTCATCCAAATATACCCACATACACATTGACACATACATACACTAGCTGCCGTTTCATGGATGTATATAAATGCTTCAAATTTTTTCAAAAAAAAAAGCATATCCATCTGTCTATAAGGTTAAATGCATTTAATATTCACATCTGACACGTTGTTTTCTGTTTATAAACAACCTTCAAAAGCAAATATCTAATTATTATTATTGTTTGTGCTACATAAATGGTAATGGTAATAGACATATAGACCATCTATGCATCGATTATTTGCACCTGTCATACCTCATTTTGTTTTTACGGTGCGACCATTCTAGCATCTAGCATCTAACCTTTATACATTAGCTTCCTTATACGTACATAACATCTATTGCTAATGACAGATATCTATCTATCTATTTCACTATTAGCATATTTCGATTAAAAGATAAGATTTTTAATTAAGTTAATAACATGAATTGAAGATGAGAGCAACAGCTTTTCTTACTCACATTCTCATTTTAATATTATCGATTACTATATTGAATTGATATTCTTCTTCTTCTCTAACTATTACTTTCTATATATATATCTTTCTTTCACAACCTATATTTCCTCTATACAATAGAATTCTATGGGAAAATCAATGAAAAAACCTTTTGTTTTCCATGTTCTCATTGATTAACAACTTTTAAAAGAGAATACAAAGAGAGTGTGAGAGTGTAAGAGAGAGAGAGAGAGAAAGAGAAAAAAAAAGAAAAGGATCATTGTTATTTGAAACTCACAAAACACATTTGTGTTATTTCGCATTTTTCTCTTTAACTCATTGCCCACATATGTATCTGTAACAGTGTAGTTTGTGTTTACTCACATCAAATTAACGAAAAAATTGTCCTAATGCTCGGAAAATACATTCCTCTTAGCTAAATTGAGTTTGAAAGACGCAAAGACAGCTCGTTCGTTTAGAGGCATAGGATAGGAGAGAAACTATGCGAAATTTGTTTTATTTTCTTTTTTTTCTTCTTTCTGCCTTTTTTTCTCGTTTTTTCTTTTTTTCCAACAATTTCTTATTTCATTTTGACGATTTTAGTCGAAAATACATTTTGTTGTTTTCTTTTTAAGCTTTTCCTCTTTTTTCTTTCTTCTCCTTCTTTTTTCTCACCAAAAATATAAAAAGAAGTTTATGAGATGACAATTGAGGAAAAGAAAAAAAAAAAGAAAATTTCAAGAGTTGTTAGCTGTTGCAGCCAGCAGACAGCTCTCTCTTCTCTCCTATTTCTCACGGAAAAAAATTTTTCTTCTGAAGAAGAAGTACATGAACGATACACACGTGTTCCATAGTTCTATTCTCATCCAACGAATTGTTTTTGTAGCTGTCGTTCATTCTAATCAGACATTGTGCTTTAACGAATTCGTGTTTGTCTTAGCATTTCTATTCGTTGTACATTCATCATTGAGTTTCCTATTCTACTAACCTTCATCATTAAGCCTCATCGTCCAGCTTAAGCATCTGATTGTCTTATTATACAGTATCTTTAAATGGTAATAATGAGTTAATTTACATTTGAATTCATTCATATGAGTTATCTATGGTAAAAGAGTTTCGGTAAGCATTGGTTTGCTTAATACTCTATCTCATAGAGCATGTGCCGTCTACGAATGACAGACAACATCATTGTTGAAACATGATAGTCTATTTCCTGAAAAGTCATGTTTATTTAGATTTTTATTAAATGAATTGCTTCATTCACATGAATAGTGACGGTTTGAGAGCCATAAATGGATTTTTCATTCTTCGTAAATCATCTTAAATAGATAGTCAAAAAGATATATAATTTCCATTTTGAGACGAATTGTTTATATAATTTGTATGCAGTGAATTTAATGAGATAAGACGGCAATTTAATAGGAGTTAAGTGGTTTCAAATGTCCATGTTTGTATATATTTAGATTTAGCTCAGCATTTCGGTTGTCATGAGTTGTCACGTCAATTCTTAATATCAACTTTAACCAAGTTAAGTTGAACATATGAGACAAGCGACACTTTCCAACATCCTTCCATTATATCGATACAGAGAGAAAGAGAGAGTCACCATCTGATTCTTCATACATATACTGCCAAGTTTAGAATATTTTTTATTTATTTTTTTATTTTCAGCTTTCTTTTCATATTTTACAGTGAAAATTGATTTCTCTCTCTCTCTCTCTTTGACAACCCCCCCCCCCTCTTACCCTCTTCCGAATCAAACAGCATTGTTGGTGTGTTGAGCATATTTTCCATTTTAACTGTGTTGAAAATGCATTTATCTGCCATGGTTCTGTTTTCCTCAAATTCGAATTTTCATATTTGATGTGTGGAAGGTTACAAGTTCGAGTTAGTTCAATCAACCGTTCAAATCATGTTATTGAAAAACAACAAATAGATAGTTGTAGTTCACATACTCACTCTAAAACATTATGGATTTGTACGAAATTATATATCTATCTATCTATATCTTTCACTTTCTTACTCTCTTTATCCTTCTCTCTCTCTCTCTCTCTCTCTCTCTCTAAACATATATATGTAGATATACAAATAGTAGAGAGTAAGCTGGAAATAGTGAAAGATGATAGAACGACGAGAAACACTAAAATGTTCAAGTGTAGTGAGATACGAACAAAAGGGATAGGAGATGCTATGAGAGATAGTTGCTGAATATGTGAGATGCATCAGACGATATTAGAAATGAGAGATGCATGAATACACAACCTAAGAGATGAAAAGAAAATGTATGAGAGATAGTTAGAAAGCTGTTGAGGATAGACACAAAAACATTTAGAGACTAACATTTGTATGTTAAAAGATGAGAGGTTCAGAGAAATGAAAAAAGTGAAGTAGTAAGATAGTTTGTACTATCAAGAGGAGCAGAGATGAAAAGCTCTACGAAACATCATGTACGATAGAGAGAAAAGCAGATATACACATTTGATAGATAGTTGTCCATAACAATGAAAATTGTGAACAAATTCACAGAGCTAGAGAAAGCAAGTGAACGAGAGAATGAGAAAAGCTAGAATCGAGGCAAGAAATTTGCTGAGTCATGAGTTCTACTTCATTTGTATAAAATTTGATCTTGATGTTCCTTCAGTTCTTCCTGCTGTTTCGGGCGACGAGCTTGAAATTTTATGTCGATAATTTCATCTTCCTTTATTATCTATTTCACGGAATACAAGATCACATCGAAAGGCATTGTAGTGTGAGCGTGAATTTTCTTATTTTTATGGCTTGTTCACAATTTTCTGAATAAGAAGAGACAGATAGAGAGAATTAGAAAAAGAGAGAGAAATAGAGAGAGGGAAACAGAAAGAGACAGAGAGAGAGAGAGAAAGAGTAAAAGAGGATATATATAGGGATATAGAGAGATAATGTTTGTGTCGTTGGCATTCTGGAAGATGCATCATTCTTTATGTTTTTTTTTTGACTGTTATTCCTCGTCTGACTTATTCAGCTTAAGTTGTGCAAATATTTTCATATTTTTATTTTTCTCTGGTCAAAAGTCAAGATAAGAAATTGAAAATGTATTTTATCATATTGAGCTGTGGCTGTAACTAGTAGATGCGTTCTAATCAAATTGATTGAATGAAATGATTCATCTTGCCTACTGCCCTATGCAAACCGCATTGTTAGTCAAGCATTCTATTTGCAACTGCTGTATTATGAATAATCACCATGTGTGTATTCACACACACACACAACCACACACACATACACAACAGCCATATTCAACAAGTACGATGACCTCAACATCTTTCTCTCTTCATACTTGTTTGCCTTTTTCAATTTTCCATTTCATGTTTATGAATATTTTTTTCTCACTATACTCTATTGACTATCTAGCTAACATCCTTCAGCATTCCATGTTGTATATGTGACAACTCAGTTAGTTATCTCTCTCCAAAAGCAAAAAAAGGAGCAGTAGAAGAAGAAAACCTAAGCCGTCTTCAAAAGACTTCAAAAAAAGGAATGACAAAATCGAAAAAAAAAAAACGAAGAAGAAGAGAAAAAGACTTTTGAAAGACACGTCCACAAAAACACAGCCGCCGCCTGCACGCATTCTTCTTCAAAAAAATAAAAATGCTTTTGTCTGCTTGTGATAATAAAGTAAACAAGAAATGTGTGAATACTACTCAAGAAAAACATCTTGTGGTTTTGAGTTGCTTACTAAAATGATCAATTATTTGTTACATCTGCAGTTGAAGCAAGCAAAAATATAAATAAATATGTACATCATCGTAAAAGCATTTCCTTTCTGTTCGATTTTTTTTTATTTTATCCTTGTTATCTTTTAAATAAATAATATAATACAATTGATTAGCTCATTTTCGTTGTCATTACTACATTCGTCGTTGTTTCTGATGAGATCTCTTCATGATGCTATTCATGGTTACTGGATGAGATGGCATTTCATTTTCGGTTTTTGCTTCTTCTGGCTTTCCTCCTCTTCCCTTTTTTTGTTCTATTCATTTACCCATTTTAATCTTTAAATTGTTTTTTTTTTCAGACAACACTGACGTCATTTGAAATTTCAAATTTTCTAGAAAATGGGTGAGCGGTCGTCGGTCCGCTTTTTCCCATTTAGAAAACATGAAAATAATTCATCGAATGAGCAAGTCAATATTTAAATATTATATAGAATAGTAATTGAACGATTTGCAGGTTCAACAAACGATCCAATTCGATGAGGGATCATCTGAATATAGATGCCTGTGTAGCTGCTTTCACGTAAAGACAGGAGCATTCGTCATTGCTACTGTACATATAGCCATGATTATATTCTTTTTCGTCCATTCACTATTAGTTTATCTTCAACATGATGGACGATTTCAAGAAGTATCATATCTATATTGATTATATTCATATTTTATAAATTGCAGGCTAGAGGAGTAAAAGAAAATTATGTTTTTGGATCATTCCTTGCTGAGTGTATTGGATTGGGAATAGCATCTTTCACAGTTCTGCTACTGCTTATTGGTCTTTCAAGACATCAATCGTTACTTTTGATTCCGCATTTGATTATACAGGTTATTCATATGCAAACATTAGCCTGTATAACTATTCTATCATTATAGGCAATCTCTGTTGTTCTTTTCGCGCTACTTGTCATTGCCGGTATTATAGCTGTAACAACAGATTTGGCCGTCTTCTATCGTTTGATCAATGCTGCTCCGTTTGTTGAGCATCCTAGTTATAGTACAGTAGGACTAGATGGAGGTCAGAAAATATATATAAATGATAAAGAAAATAACAATATAATATATGTTATAGGCACAATGCTTCGGATATATTTTCTATTGACCTTATATGGAATATCATTCTTTTTGGAAATATGGTTCATAACCATCATCTACAGTTGTGTTCGCTATTTGGATGAGCGATCTACATATATGAAATACTGTCTGGCGTTTTCAACACCAATGAAACGATTATCTGAGCGTTAAAAATGACAAATAGATGCATATGTTTAAGAATCAAATCTCTTCATAGAAGATAACACAGATCTCTCTAACATACTCTCTTACTTCATCACTTATTCAATGACACTTCTCTCTCTCTCTCTCTCTCTCTCTGTTAAATCATAACTTATATATGTATCTAATTATATTTATTAATCAAACACTTTTCAATAACAATACACTTAACTGATAATACTTATTCATTATCGTTTTTTAATTATATATATATAATATATAATTAACTTATTATATAATTAGTTAATATATACAAACTAACTTATGAAAGCATATTTATTAATAATATAAAATAAATCAGTTAATCAATCAGTTACCATCTAGATACCATGGTCTCCACTTACTCATGTTTAATCTTGGCGTCACATAAGTTATCAATTTCTCTGAAATGTTATTGTATGTTATGTTAGTTAATATGATTAATTACTTTTAGTTGTAGTAGTCATGTTATTCTGATTGAAACCATCACCAGATGAAATCATATTATTCCCTAAATTATAACTGATAGTTGTAGAAGTTATTAATTTGTCCAATTTGTTAACAGATTGTGTCATCATAGGAGCTATAGTACTAGTAATAATAGCTTTCGGAGTTATATATTCAATGTTTTTGTTTTGAATATTAAGACTGTCGGATGTTTTCTTAAACATATCCACGATTTGTGGACTCATATTAGCTTGAAGAACTGCTCGCAGTGAATTGTATATCTAAGAAAGGTTATGAGAGGTCAACCATAGGTGATTACCTTATAAGTTGCTTCAACAGGCTTAGCACTGTACTTGGATACATCGAAAATCTCATTCAAATTCTGAGACTCTTTTTCTAGAAATGAAAGAGTTTAATAAGAATAAGCTTATAAGATAATACTCATAGGCATTAGATACACCTGACTCAATGAATCATTGGGAGACAATTCAGTTGTTGTAGTGACAATCTCAGTTGTTGTAGTGACATTCTCAGTTACCTTCTTATAAATCTTATTTTTCTGTAAACATTAGCCGGGAATATGATATATGGACAATCTATATACTATAAACTAACCTTTCTGATTTTCTTTTCATTTTTCTTCAAAGTTTCTTTCTTTGTTGAATTTTTGTTGCTACCAGAGTCTGTGAATGACCAGAGAAATAACAGTTAAGAAGCTGAAAACGAGTCTCACATATTGATTCTTCGCAAACAATCGGGAATTTCGGATCAAAGACATATTGTTGTATACTCTTATAGAAATCAGCTGCGTCTTGTCCACAACTAACTGAGATGAGAGATAAATCAAAAATCTCTATCTCCTATCATTACCTTGTATCTCATTCAACGTACAGACGTTCTGCTCAGAAACCCAACTGTTTACCATGCAAACAATATCGGCTTGTCCAGAAACCATACAATTATCTCTGAACGAGTTGATGGTTTTCTAGATTTCTTTTCGTCTGGATTACTTGCACTTAAGAACGTCTTCACCGTTCGTTACTTCAGTCAAATTACATTTTGTGCTTTTTCGAGCTTTATTCATGGTTCCCGAAATGCACTCACGATGTTTCAGGAAAAGACTGTAAGTGATGAGTATAGATATAAGACATCAGAAATTTAGTCGAGACACCAAGTGAATTACCTTTGCCTTTGTAGACTGAAAGGAGAGCAGAGAAACATAAAAATGCTATCAACTTCTTTCATTAACCGTTTTTGCTTCGCATCACCACATACTTCAATTTTCTGGCTAAAACATGGCAAAACGTTGCCATACACTCTGGTTAAGAAAAAAATGAAAAAAACACTCAAAAATATGAAGCATACTTGCAAGTGTGAAGGAGTTTTGCTTCAGTTTCGACATCAAAAACAACTTTCATCATGTTTCTCCCAAATGGTGCTCCTTGAGATTTCAATCGTATAACACAGCCAATAAACTCGCTATCGGAACAAGCTGCCATGATGAGGGATCCTGAAAATATATTGAAATTGTTATTTCAGAGCTATAAACCCCTTACCGAGATTGAAGCAGAGTAGAATGAAGAAAATCATTTGAGCTCAGTTTTGAGTAAGTTAAAGTCTTTACAATACTACAAATGTTCCGTACGAAAGCGGAAATGAGCAATTGGCGTGCACAGTGACCTCTCCCGTCATAATACCTCAATAACGATAGCAAATAATACAGATTTGTATAATATAAACAAAACTTTTCTCTACAATATCTTTCAATGAAAACCAATTCAAATAGAGACAAATATTGATCTTAACGATCCAAATAATTCCAAAGTTAATGAACTTGATCAACAAAACATCCGATAGGTCCTTATTCGATTCTTGTATTTGAATACGTTCAGCCAAACAAATGGATCTCGTTTTCTCTTCGCTCTCACTTCTTATGGTGTCATATGAATACATTCAAGACGTATACTGTTATCTATCGTATGGGGAAACATTTTCCTGAAAACATGAGTGAACAGAAAGTAAACTCATCTATATCTTACTTACGTTGATACTGTGCTCTTATCAATATCACTCATTAAGAACTAGGCGGCGGGAAATTAAACAGTTGAGATGATTTTGTTTTGAACTCCTTTTGATCTCTTCTCTTCCTGGTCTAGTACACAATATCTTATTCTAAATCTTTTATATATAAATATGTTCAAATAAATAAGTAAATGAAATTATCATTCAAATGATCTTTACATAATTCAAATTCTATGAAAAACAAAGAAAATTTCTGACTAAACTACACAGAAGTTTATTTATTAAAGAGATGATTACGTTCTACTTACACAAATAATATATTTTATTATAATAATTAAAGTGTTATATTAACAAATGATTTTTGTATACTCCTTTTTCTTGGTGATTGTAATCTTCATTCTTTTTATTCCTCTTTATCAGACAGTTCAACTGGGACAGGAAGCTTCTTCATATGCTTCATAACATTGTTTTCTTCAATCTTCTTCTCATATTTGGAGCGTTTACAGAAGACATGACCATAGTACTCATCAACAGACATGCCAATTTCTCTTAAAATCTAGAATGTAAGAAAGATTTATGGAATATTTCAAACCTGGCTTGCTTGAAAGTGAGACGACGTCTCGGCATTGGAGCTCTCACATCTGCAGATCTGCAAAAATTAGATTGTGAATCAGAAGAGGAGCATTAATTGAGAGCTAACAAACCTTAGAAAAACATCGTTTGAATTGATACCAGCAGATGATGCATTGGTTCCTGTTGAACTACGCTGATTGGAGCTTGGGATGGTTCTAGAGACTGTATTGGATCCTGCTGAATTCTGCTGATTGGTGCTGGGAATGGTTCTAGAGACTGTATTGGATCCTGCTGAATTCTGCTGATTGGTGCTGGGAATGGTTCTAGAGACTGTATTGGCTTCTGCTGAACTTTGCTGATTGGTGCTTGGGATGGTTCTAGAGACTGTATTGGATCCTGTTGAATTCTGCTGATTGGTGCTTGGAATAGTTCTAGAGACTGCATTGGCTCCAACTGAATTCTGCTGATTGGTGCTTGGGATGGTTCTAGAAACTGCATTAGTTCTTGTTGAATTCTGCTGATTGGTGTTTGCAATGGCTCTAGAGGCTCGAGCTCTTCTTGCGTTAAAGCGTCTGACTGAAACATAAGGAGGACTCATATAGTCCAAAATTTGTCTGACTGTCATGACACTTTGACCGTCACTGGTATAGCGAATTCTGCATCAAGATCAGGATTATTTTCTTCGTGCCAAGAATATCTTACGATTCAATAATTGTATTCCTCTCCAAACGCTTTCTCTCTTCTTCTGGCAGGCCTCGATATGGTGAATAGACTTCATCATCGCCAGACTCGTATTCATCACTTTCATAATGAATTCTTCTGAAAAAAGTTAAAGGTATTTAAAAGTAAGTGTTGAAGATAAGTAAATGGACTTGAAAATTTAGAATATTCATAATTTTATCTTTTTCAGAAATATATTTATTAAAACCAACCTGCGCAGATCAATTTCGCGTTGAGTCATACCCTCCATCTAGAAGAATGAAATTAGAATGACAACTGAGTAACGAATGTATGTATATATATTAAAATGAAAATATAATGAATGGGCGGACGGCGAGTGAGAAAAATCGATAGGACTGCAGCAGCAAAAGAGAATTAATTTGAAATGTTCTCATAGCGTAGCCACATTAGATTATATAACAATCAATATTCTTTAATCCTACTTCAACCTTATAAATACAACATACATGAGAAAATGCATTTTTATGAAGGTTATTCAGCCTGATCATATTTGACCTTTGCCATTAGGGAAGTACACATAACTAATCACCCCAAAAGGAAGAACGCGGGAGAATTTGAACGCGTACTATGACAAATGACGATAAAATCCCCCTACTATTGTTCCACTATTCCAATCGAGGATGCGCGGGAAATGACGCAACTGTGTTCATCATCAAAAAAATCATAAAAATTTCGGAATAGCGATAGAATTTAGAAGGTGTAACTTTCCGCAAAGGTCAAATAGTATAGCGTTATAACCTTTCCCATGATATGAAATGCTAATCGGTTTCCTTTTCTTATTAATTTCTCAAAACGTATATATCGAATTTGTCTTGATATAATATAATATACACATATATCTATATATATATATATATAGCACTGCACAAAGAATATTGAAAATTAATTTACATTTGCTGCATTCTCATCGATTTTCCTCTGTCCATTACATTTCCGTTCCTCATATGTCTCACTCGTAATTTCAGTTTCATTTATTTTCGCTAGTTTCTGATGGATAGCCGCGAGTCTGATACAATACGGTTAGTTTTGAATAATATAGTTAGACAACTTGTCTAGGAAAAGAAACTTTCTAAGGCTTCTAATCAGCGAGGTCATTATACTATAGACAGTTTATCTTCCAAAAATAACTAGGAACTTAACAAAGAATTACATTTTTAGTGAAAGAACATCTGAAAACAAACAAATCCCTGATTCTCCAACTATGAGAAAAATTGAGCCCCCCCAGTACTTTTTCGGTGATGAAAAAAAGCGTCTGGAGTGGTATAGGAAGCATCGACCGTGAGTAATTTGTAATTGCAATGTATTGATTCAATTTTAATATAGAAATCAGACACATGAGCTACTTCCAAATGGTTACTCTTTTCCAATTGCCCTAACAATAGCCAATGATAAACCCTGCTCGACAGCAGACCAGAAGGTGAAAGCAAAACTAATTCTGCATATTTGAGAATTGCAGGTACTGGACGAAGCTAAGGTTTTGAAGAGTACTAATACTATGAAAGGGGAGAAACGGAAGCTGAAGGTAATGATAAGGCATTTTTATAAAAACCTTCTTCTATTCGCAGATAGAAGTTGCATATATAGATAAGACGAATGATGACAAGAACTTTCATCGAAACAACGAAGTAAATTAATGAAAGACTATGTCGTAGAAAAAACATTTATTACAGGCAAAAGTAACAAACGGTTCAGACGAAACCACAAAAAAATTGCCAACAGATAACAAAAAACTAAGTGATCCCGGAGCATCAGCTACCACAATCTTGGAGTTTAAAAAGAGGAATGAGTAAGGCTGGAAAGTACTTTATATGATAAACTCTACATACTATTAAGTGAAGATATCACCTATCTCAAATTCCTAATAAAAAATTTTTTGAATTGAATTTGCAAACCAGAAAAAAAAAGTCATCTGTACGCTGTATTTCTGAAAAGCTGAAAAGGATAAAGCATAGAACAATCGTTTAAGTACAAAATGATCAGGTCGCCTAATAAGAGTGTGGCATTTTTCTTCCCTGGAACAGCATATTATAATAAATGTGATTGATGATACTTTTCACTTATCGACATCAAGGAGAGGTGAGCAGTTGACCACATGAATGTTCTTCATTCTAAATCGAGACATTAAGAAGAGAACTGTTTGAAGGCAATAAACCTTGAAAAATACTTATAAAACTACAATCTGTTCATGTTTTATGTAGACCGTATCTATTTTGACATCTGTAAGCTTGCTCGATTTTCTCTACAGTATGCCTATTGCATGAGAGAATGAGCTTAAAACTTCGAAGTTGTGATATTTATAGATATAGATGTTTATTTTTTCCAGTTTTGTGGTCTCTGAGATCATTAGTGAGACAATTATTTCATAGTGTTGTTCCATATCTGCTCATGATCCACATTGCTCGAACACGTTCTGGACAACTTCGCCATTTCAGTGTCGAAGTCAAACAGTGGTGGTGTCAATGGCGTCGTAGGTGCAGAAATCGACAGAGAGCTGTCAGGAAAGGCAACGTTACCGTAAACGTGAACGTAAAGAATTTCAAATCTTCAAGTCGTTCTTAATAGATTTTTCATACCTACATCTGTGGTTATGAGGAGATTACGACCAGATTAAGATTAAAGTGTTTTCGGGATTCTTCAATGACCTTTCTTAGTATACAAACAGACTACACGGTGATGAGTAACCCTGATCTACAAAATCTCGCATAAGATTCGAGAATTAATGAGATCCGTGGTGTTTCAATGCCTGATAACCGCCCAGATGAGATAACAGATAAGAAAATTGAAGTTTCAGTTCTCTAAAAGAATAATATTACGGAAATGGAAGTATGTTTCTGTTATATCTTCATTTTTTTGTTATTTTCGTCTTATTCTCGGTTTATATTGATATCAACGCACTTACACCTACTTTTTTCACGTGATTGCTTCCAACTTCACAAGTTTCAGGTGAACACATGGTGACTCTACTCCTTATCAGTCTGTTCCTTGCGACGCTTTCATTTGCAGGTATGACAAATCTATTGAGAATAAATGATTGGAACTATTCAAATTCTGATTTCAATTGATATTTCCGGTATAAGTGAGATAATGAACAACTTCCAGAAAACGTAGCCATCCCTGACAGCTCTCTGTCAATTAATGCAACTACGATGTCTCTGATACCACCAATGTTTGACTTCGACACTGAATTTGCGAAACTGTCCAAAACGTGTTTGAGCAAAGAGGATTATGAGCAGTTATGGAACAACACTGTGCATCATGCTTTAGCACGCATATACAATCGATATTTGATTAAAGCAGCTTTAGAGATAATTGGCCGGACGGAGATGAGAACGACACTCAACTTCTCGCCACACTTTAGCTGGAAATTCTGGGGACACCGCGTCTTTGAAGAACCCGGGAAAATTTGGCCTAGTGAAAGCGAACTGGCATCGGCGACTACTATTGAAGCTTACTACAATCTTGTAGAACCGCCTTACGTAATTTCCAATCCTTTTATGTTCCGTTTGGAGAAAGTTATGACTCCTGCAGTAGCATTCTTAGACACTCGTTTCCCCTTCATTCGTGCCTATTTCAGGCGTAGTTTCGAAGAAATCCGTCAGCGTGATGGCGGAGAAATAAATAGAAAATTAGTTGATAACATGATTCACAAGTTCGAAGAGGTTTTATATAAATTTAGCAATGAACTAGCCAAGTCGCCTTCGTTTGATTATAGCGATGAAAAGTCTGAGAACTGTGATGGATAATGAAAAAATATGCTTGATTCAGATTATTCACAAATCGTCTGATTGACCTGTTTCCTCACTCCTTACAGTATCTTTCATATACTTTGTAC